TTCACCTGAGCCTCTATCCCACCTGGCTGCTAGACCACTTCCTAGCAGCCTTTTCTCCCCGCAGGCTTCAGCATTCTAAGGACCCACAACATCATCACGTCTAATGCAGGTCCATTAGACAGGACGACATCAAGTGGCATACCACAGCTGAAGCGAATGGGGGCAGAGGTGAGCGGTCACTGCCGAGTATCAGGTGAGTTTATCTGCTTTATTTTCTTCCCTAGTGTTAGGATCCAGGTGGCGCTGGTGCTAAGCCCTGCAGTTTCCGTACCCACCTGCAGGGGTCTCCAGGCAGCCAGGAACTGCTAGGTACCAGACCTCCACTGGGTGGTGCTGGAAACTGCAACTCCAGTGCTCACCTGCAGGTGTCTCACAGCTGCCACCAATCATCCATCACCTGGTGCTCCCTGGGAGGGTACTTAAGCCCTCCCTACAGTCAGGTCTGTGGCTCAGTATTGTTTCCAGTTAAGCCTGTAACCTGCTTCTGGTCCCGAGTCCTGTATCCTGTTTATGTTCCCTGCTTGTTGTCCGGAACCGTGACCTGCTTATGTTCCTGAGCCCTGAGTCCTGTTAGCTCCTTGTACCCTGACCTTTTGCCAGTTACTTTTTGCATGTGGTGTGCGATTTCAAATTGCAATAGCCAATAGCAGCCTTGCTATTGCTCTCGGCTGTTTACATTCACCTGTGGATGGTTGCTTGAGAGTTACTGTTACCTCTCAAGATACCAGAAACTTCAGTTATTCGGCACCTACCAATCCCGTGGGTGCCAAATACCTGGGAGCTTACTGTACAGTAAACTCCATCTAAAATGCGAAAGATCGGAACTCAATCGATTTGCAACCTGAGGAGCATCATCTGTATAGGAAATAATTATACTTGTCAGCACTATCTGAGGGCGCTCCCACACTCCAAAGACATAATGGAAAGTTAATTGGCCCTGTATGTATGCATGCATGTGAGATAGGGACCTTAGACTGTAAGCTCCTTGAGGGCTCTAACTGATGTGAATGTAAAACGCTGCGTAAATTGTCTGTGCTATATAAATACCTGTGATAAATAGAAAAATCTCAGAATTCGATGGACACAGCTACAAATCCTTTGGAAGGCAAAACAGCCCTCATATATAGATTTCATCTGTATATTTAGATTGGAAACCCTTAGTACAAAGTCCACCAATCAAAACCACCAGCTGCAATTGTCTGCTCTGCTTTGCACGCTGCAGAAAAGGAAGACTGTATTTTAAAAACACATTAGCTCATTTACTATATGCAGGAATACTATGCAAATATGCAAATATAACCTTTCCCCCCGGTTTTCTTCTGCTGTGCTTCAAGATCTGTTGTCACTGGTGGAGGCCAGTGTAAAAATGGCATTTTTATTATTTCATGACTCCTTTTTGAAAAAGTTAATGAACGAAACTAGTCAAAGGAAGATCTGTCCTCACCGCTCACAGCTGAGATTCTGCTATTCTGCTAACGCTTTTAAAGCTCTAACAGTTCGTGAATTTTGTAAGTGCATTTGTGTATTTTTAACAATTAAACATTTTGAGTTACTGCACTTAGGGGGGCCGGCCTCCTTTCTCCATTTTTTTCCTGGGAGATATCAACAGGTTTACGCCGCCAGTCGGGTGGTGAGTCCCCAGAAAAATCGGTATGAGAGGAGAAAATTACGCCTTGGATTTGAAGAGTTAAGAGAGCGACGGATCGCTGAATTCTCAGGACTCCCCAGACTCTCTGGGCCATCGATTGGTTGGATACGTTTTTCTTGGACACTTGTCTAGGGAGTGAATGGATTACCCACCCAGGCAGCATTGGAAAAAGAAAAGTAACCGCTTTAACCTCATCTCATGCATACTACCTAATCTTTGAAAGGACTGCTTGCTATACTGTTACTATCATTCTGGATATTTAACCCTCTATATTCAGAAAATAATCAGAGCGCACTGAGTTGCACAGTATATTTATTATAGGTGTAATATGACACTATATAGGTGTGTGTATAATATTTAGATTTTCACCACGTTGTTTTTTTGTGATTACTTCACTTCAACTGTTTTCTGCTCACCGTATTGATGTCACTTAGGGCGATTTTATGATATTGGTCACCCATACACGTATTACAAAAAAGTTTCCAGATTTATGGTTATAACACTAGAGTGCTCGTTTGGCTACTTTGGGTGCGTTTAACATAAATGAACGCTCAATGACACACTGGGCTGTGATTGATACTTTCACCATTTATTTTCGTTACATTTCACTTTCACATGCCGAGATATTGATTTCCAGTAATTGTACACTGTATTTTTTTTCCTCTTGAGGCCCCGTTCACACTGAGCGATTTATCGCGCGGTATCGCTCTCCAAAGCTTGGCAATGGGGCAAAGGGTCCTGCTGTCGCGGGTCGTGCGTCGCTACAGCAGGACCCTTTTTGGAGCGGATTTTGCCGCGATTCAATGCAAGCATTTGCGCGATATCGCGCAACGTGCAAATCGCGCGACAAATGCGCAATTTGCGAATGGCCAAGTGTGAATGGGGCCTTAAACTAAGAGATTGTTCATCACAAATATTGAATTAACATCCACTCAGACCGAGCCAACGTAGTTGCTACACAATTATATTCACTTTTACACATTGTTGCGGCTGGTCTAATTAGCTATTTAGATACTCACTCCTAGCGCAGTGATTTTTGTATTACTATTGTTTGCATATAGCTTGTCTGGATCTGCTCTACAACAGCAGACAGGTACATGCAAAAAAAAAATGGGAAAAAAGGAATTTTTTTGTGTGCACCTTTTACACATAACTGTTTGAATGAACTTCTTCACAGCTAGAAAAATAAGTTATGAATTCTATACTGCACTCATGTAATCCCTGGAGAAACAGATCTCAAGCTGCTAGAAACATGCACCCTTGCATAAGTTTCTAGAAAGTCAATTGTGGACAGCACAATATACATCTAGAGGGATCCATAATGCCTTCCTAGTTTGTTGCTCTGCTTTGGAGACATGTGCTGTGTATACTGCTCTATACCAGAGTTTCTCAACGTTTCTTCTGTCACGGCTCGCTTTAAAAGTATGCAAAATCCTGAGGGATGCCAGTCTAAAATATAAAAAAGTAAACGTAAAATAACGATGTGTGGCACCTCCAAAATCCAAACCAGACCCTTACCTGAGATAGGGGTCAGAGATAGATTTTAAAAGGGGGCCCTATTCATAAACACACAGAAAAATGGAGTTCCCTCCTTCATATGAGACTTCCCTTTCACATCATAATTCCTCCTTTACATCAGGAGCCCCCCTTCACATTAGGAGCCCCCTAACATCAAGAGCCCTGGTGCACTATGGAAAGGCATTATGCTGTGTGAAAATTTCGAGGCATCCCTGAGGAAGCCAGAAGGGACCCCAGGGTGCCACGCCACCCTGGTTGAGAAAGCCTGCTCTATTCTATGTAAACCTATGAAGGGGCTGTCTGCTACTAGCAATCTGTGATCTTTTTATTAGTTTACTGCAGCATATAAATCATATTTTATTTCTCTTGGCACTGTAGACATACATTGAGATACCTTCCTTGTTCTCATTTGCAGCTATATCACAAACACAATCAAAGTAGCAGTGTGTATCGTAGCCTGGAACTGTAGTGATGACTCTCAAATCAAAAAGGGAAAGGCAGAGTAAAATATACTTGTTTGTTTTCCCTGGATATAATGAAAGAGCTAATGACTTATTCAAGTCAAGTTATCTTTTAATGCCCTGCAAACAAATTGGTGAATCCCACAATGATCTGGAATTCACATTGCTTGGCTGATGCAGCCTGAGAAACACATCAGTGCAAAAACACACGACAACTAACCAAAACCTAGTGTTCCGACTGCTCTAGCCTACCAATTCCCCACAAAGTGGCTGCTCAACAAAGTCAAGCTATCAGCTACTTAAGGGCACACACCCTGCCTTTCACCCTCACTGACCAGAAGTGAAGGTCATGGTTTTTCCTTCCAACGCTGTCTCTATTATTACTTAGTACAGTTTTTTTTGTTTCAATTTATTTTACAAGCTCACTCTGTTTCGAATAAATCTTGACTCAATTCAAGTAATCACCAAGAAGCTTTTTGGTGAAGAGGAAAATACACACACGCACATACACAAGCACTTGTCTCTGATGTTAGAATGTAGAAACATCAGCACCACCTTCTGGATAGTTTTATGCTTGGCATGCATTATAAAAGAAAAGATATATAAAAAGAAAAGTACTGTGACTGGTGCTTTCCTAATAGAGTGATCTAAAAATTATGGTTAAAAAATGTAAACTAAAGCCAAATTTTTTTTGGGCTATACAGTAGTTCTCTTTTGGGTCACAGGAGTACATTTAGTAATGTACTCCTGTGACCAAAAGTCAGCATCTAGTGGGCTACTGCCTGCTAAACGCTGACAGCGCAGAGCCACTGCCTGATTGACAGCTGGCTCTTCCTCTCTAGAGCCAGCTTTCCCTCCCACTTCGGTCTGTCCTTCCAATAAGCGCTGGAGGAATAGAGAGAGGGGAGTGCGGAATCCCTGAAGGGAGCTGCGACAGTCACTGCTCTCTGCATGGAGAAGGCTGTGAGCTGAATGATCAGGCCGGCATGTGATAGCTGCACAGTCATGTGCTGGCTCAAAGTATTGGGAATAGTATATTTTACTCTTTCCAATATTTCTCTAACAGGACAGTAATGAAACCAATAGAAGTTCTAAATTATTCACACTTTTATCCAAAACTAAAATAATAAAAAAATGTTGCTGGTGTTCCACTTTACTATTCCTAACTGCACTTTACCGGTTTTATCTCAATAATAAGACATGTTCCTCCCCTTTATCAGTTCTTACATGCTCCTTTCTCCTATTTCTGCCGTGACATGTTCCATTCTTCTCCTCAGCTTTGCCTTGCTCCTTTCCTGTCCCTTATCACCTCTTTCCCTAATTCAAGCTGTATCTTCTGCTGTACAGAAACAGGCTCAAAATAGGTTTCCTACCTTCAGGGGAATGAACCATTTTGGGATGTGTTCTGGACTCCCAAGATTAATGACCGCTCCTCCGAACAACCAGCAGTTTACACCACACTGAAATAGAAAGTGACAAATGTATATACAAAATGCATTCTCGGGTAAAACTTTTAGTGCTGTAAGGATCCTGTGGCTGTTTTTTCTCCAGCTATTCTCACCTGTCTGGACATTAGAGGCTTTCTCGGTTAGGAAAATGGGGTTGGGACCGAATTTTGGCAAACAATAGCAGCAGGGAGAAAGGTTTGCAAATTAAACTTATTGTGCTAAATCAAATATTGGTTTGAAAAGCACATGCCGTGTCATCTTCTACCAAACTTGAAATAAGAATTCTATCATTTATCACCTCTCTTAGATAAGATTGTTGCAGCTTGTCTAGTTAGCAATGTTGACAATCTATAAATATGGAAATTTACACTATAAGTTATCTCTGTTGTCAAACTAGGAGAAGTAACTGATACAGTGCAGATGAATATCTACAGAATTGAAGGTATAATCTATACTTCATTCACTTGTTTTAAAATACTATATATATAGTGGCCTTCAACTTGTACATGTTAACCTGTTTTGCAGAGCTGTACTTTATCCAAAGATCATTGGTGATATCGCCACTTTTACCTTTACTCCAGTTGTCATATCAGCCGTACAAAAAACTTCTCCCATAATTAGACTTCTGTTGACAAAGTTTTTCCTTTTATCTATCTGAGGATAAGAAAAACAACAGTTCACACAAATGACCTCTCAGCCTTTTATTATAATAACGACACAATAATCCTGATGTATGATAACGAATAAATCTTCCTTACAGCCGGCAGCCACTGTCAGAATACAATAGAAACATGAGGGGAATCCTTGATCAACGCTGTTAAGCGTTGATGGAGGAATCTGTTCTAAATTTTTTCGCTCAGCCCGTAGGTTGAAGGAAAAAAATAGAATTGTGCATACCTGGCTTTAGTTTGGCTGTGTCAGTGACCTGGGTGAGAAGTGACTTCACTCCCCTGATTATGTGGCCGTGCTCGGGCTTCGGGATTAGCTTAGGTCTGAGCACTGTCAAAGGGAAGCAGGTTACATGATCCTCCATACCTGAGGTTTTGGATAGTGTTGCCAGCTGCGAAGAGGCAAGAAACTGAGAGAGAGCACAGGTAAGGTAAGTATAAGTGGGTGGGGGATGCCCTTTTGAAAAACATTGTCAATTTGCCCTGTATGGGCAAGGTGACAGCGTCTCTTTAAGAACCTTTACTGCCATTGTACAACTAGTACTAAAGGTGCCCATACACCTTACGACCATCGCAAGACTTTTGTCTTGCGATGGTCGTATGCTCATTAAAAGCCCGTACGATCTGCCCACCTTGGACGGGCAGATCGTACTTGCGATCATCGGAAGCCCGCCCCGCTGAGGGGCGGGTGTTTCCGATGACGGCAATGCAGAACGGGCAGTGTGCGCGTGCACACACTGGCCCGTTCCGCAGCTATCGGGCTAGCAGGCTAGAAACCCGCCGACAATCGTACGATTCTCGGCTGGTGTTCAAGCATGTTGGCTCGACAAAAGACGTGCGACCGTACAGTAGAAACGGTCGCACGTCTTAGTTCACACTGCTCGATTCTCGTACGATCGCGGGATTTCGCCCGATTCTCGTACGAGAATCGAGCAGTGTATGGGCACCTTAAGAAAGGCAAGCTATCATTTTTCACTAACGATGATGCTGGTCAGCTTTACCTGAAACAGGTGATCAGAAGGGGTAGGATTGCTGCAGTCATATTAGTGGGTTACCCAAGTAGGGCTTCAGATAGAAAACCTTTTGAATTACATACATTCTTTTTCTTCAGTAGAAAAAAAAAATAGTATTTTATAGTGTTTAGTTAAACCACAGTAACAGAAATACGATGGAATGCATACAGTGTGTGTGTGTATGTATGTATGCATACATACATACATACATACATACACACACACATAATATATTTGTATGTTAATGCAATGGGCAGATACAGGCTCACCAAAACAGCAGTGATTGTAAAAGAAAATACAACCTGGGCGCTCGCTTCAATCCCCAGTCTTGGATGGCAGGCAAGTTCACACAGGTCATAGGTTGCCCATACACACTTGATCATCTCCAGTTTCAACCACAATCATCCAAATTAGGAGGAAATAATTTCCTGTCTATGGGGACTTGGGTCCTGTGTAAATCTGCTTTTGTTCATGTCTAAACTGCTTTTCTCTCTCCATACAAATCAGTAGGAATGTCCACAGCAGTTTATGCAGCTTAGGAGTTCAACTGCAGATCAGAAACACCTGTGAAGGCACTCCGATGGACTTCAGAAGCATGTCAAACACAAGCTAAATGCACCTGAACGCATGCTATATCTGCCCAACTACACAAGCCCTGGGACCTTTGTTTACACATAATTCTTACTATATCTACATGAAAAAAATTTACATATTCTTACCATCTCCTGAAACGTCTGCTGAACAAGTGGTAAGCCCAAGACAAATTTTACTCTTTCAAATGTGAGGTCCCTCATTTCATCCAAACTCAAGTCATATCTGTAGAGAATGCAAAAAATAGCTTTAGAGACTGTTATTTGATGTGAAATTATCCAACATAAATAGAACACTAAAGAAAGGTACAAACACAAGCATTCTTTTAAGAAAACCTGTGGACAATTCAAAAGCCAAAAAGAATATGCTCAGTAGCTAGCTGTCAGCACATACCTCTTTTTCCAGCATCTGCAACTTCCAGAGCTATGTTGTTTCTTTACTTCTAGTAGTGGGGATAAAGCATATCTCCCCACTCATATCCAACAATGCAAAGGCCTAGTAGAACACGAGCACTTAACCTGTAGCAAATACCGAGGAAGGTACAAAATCTTTATAAAATTGCGGCCCAATTTGCTCTAAACAGAGCAAAAATGTAATTCCCCATTCCCAAGACATTCGTATAACTCCCTGGATCAGCAGTCTGTTCTGTATTTCTTTTGATTCTAATTAGCTAATTTTATTTTGTGCATTCAGAAAACACATCAAACTCCTTGTGAAACAGTCTAACCTCTAAGTTGAGCTTTCTTCAATCTCTTCTTCTGTCCTTATGGTGACCTTAAAGTGAACAAACCTCCACTAGATTATTTTGTATGAGCCATTTATATATTTACACAGGTATTATATCCCAATTGCTTCTTCTCAAAAGTAAATACATTTAATTAAGTTAGACTTTTTATGTAGCAGAGATTCTCCTAGCCTCTTAATGATTTCGCTGCTCTTCTCTGCACCCTTTCATTTCACAACATTCCTTGTGTGGACTGGTGCTCAAAAATCAAACTGCATATACAAAAATAGGCTATCCTCACACTTTATGTAGTAGAACAATGATGTTTCTCCCTGTAGAGTCTATGCCGCTTTTAATACTAGGAGGTAGCCTGCTAACTTTGGAGCTGCAGATTGGTATTGCACGTTATTATCGGGTCTATGTTCTGCCAGGGCACCCGGATCCCTCCTCTATCTATCTATTAACAAAACACATTGGGGGGAATTTTCCAAAGCAATTACGACAGTTTTAGCCTCTTAGATCATTTTTTTATGTGCAAAGCTGTCTTTTAACACGTGCCCCGTTTTACCCTGAGCTTGCACGGCTTTTCCAACTGCACGTGTTTTGCCCCTGTTTTACCCTGAGCTTGCACGGCTTTTCCAACTGCACGTGTTTTGCCCCTGTTTTACCCTGAGCTTGCACGGCTTTTCCAACTGCACGTGTTTTGCCCCTGTTTTACCCTGAGCTTGCACGGCTTTTCCAACTGCACGTGTTTTGCCCCTGTTTTACCCTGAGCTTGCACTGCTTTTCCAACTCTACGTGTTTTGCCCCTGTTTTGCCCAAAGCTTGCACTGCTTTTCCAACTGCACATGTTTTGCCCAAAGCTTGCACTGCTTTTCCAACTGCACGTGTTTTGCCCCTGTTTTGCCCAAAGCTTGCACTGCTTTTCCAACTGAACGTGTTTTGCCCAAAGCTTGCACTGCTTTTCCAACTGCACGTGTTTTGCCCCTGTTTTGCCCAAAGCTTGCACTGCTTTTCCAACTGAATGTGTTTTGCCCAAAGCTTGCACTGCTTTTCCAACTGCACGTGTTTTGCCCCTGTTTTGCCCAAAGCTTGCACTGCTTTTCCAACTGAATGTGTTTTGCCCAAAGCTTGCACTGCTTTTCCAACTGCACGTGTTTTGCCCCTGTTTTGCCCAAAGCTTGCACTGCTTTTCCAACTGCACGTGTTTTGCCCCTGTTTTGCCTAAAGCTTGCACTGCTTTTCCAACTGCACGTGTGTTTTGCACTGAGCTTGCACTACTTTTTCAACTGCACGTTTTTTGCAACCGTTTTCATCTGCACTTGTTCTGGGGCTGTATGAAACTGGCGCATCACCCAAGAAAACAAATCACAACTTAAGAAGTCCCCATGACCACTTCAAGAAGCAACAGTTAAGCTTTTTGCCTGAAGTTACAAGTCTTTTTTCCTGGAGTCTATTAAACCTCATTTATCAACAATATTACACTAGCATCATAAATCTGGTGCAAATATATTCCGTGCAATTTCAAACACTCGCAATTGCTGTGATAAATTCCCCCCTGTAGGTCTAACGAAAATTACATTTATTATCAAGGCTTAGACTGCATTGATAAGTAAGGCTCAAATAACGTGGAAAATTTGTCATTTAAAGAGATAGGACAGGAAAGTGGAGCAACTCCCTTGATAAATGCCCCCCTTTGTATTCTGTAAATGGGTTCACAAAATACAAGTGTTCTTTAAATGGACAAAGGGAAGATGAGGGGCAAGCAAATGACAGGATGGCTGCTGTGTTTGAGAGCTGCAAGTGTCCTATCAGAGAGCCAGAGGATGTCAGGACCTGCTGTGGACGCACGCTGTCCGAGCAAATAGTGACGAGTCATTTCACCTATAGCAGCTACCATTTCCAAAGGGCGGCATGCCTACCGGTACTTGGATGCCCCCAGGACTTAAACTAAATGCTCTGTACAGGTGATGCCACAGGCTGGCCCCAGATGCTGAACCAAGGTACAGACAGAAGGAGAAAGATGCTACAAGACAGTAATCAGGGACAAGCTGAGATCAAAGGCTGGCAAGGGTAATCCGGGCACAGGCTAAGGTCAGGGCAGGCGGCTGGCAAAGGGTAATCTGGGCACAAGCTAAAGTCAGGGCTGGCAGAAGGCAAAGCATAATCCAGGGACAAGCCAAGGTCAGAACCAAAGACAAACAAGATTTCCAGACACAGGATTTGCTGAGACAAAGCATGACTTGTATAGCCAGAACTATCACAAGCACTGGGGAACAGGCTGATGATGCTTACATAGGGCGCCACCAGCAACAAGGCCAATCGCCGAGCTGGAGGTTAGATGAATTAAGCCACAGCCGACCAGACTAGTGCTGCAGCCAGCAAGACACAGGATAATTAAACCACACCAGTCAGGGCTGCAGCCAGCAATACAGGCTGCTTGAACTACACAGGCTAACTGACAGAAGTATAGCAAAACCTGGGATCAGTGAAGTTATAAATTGTTAAGAACAGGCAGAGATTCAGGAGGCGGCATACAAATACTGAGATTTAACTTTTTGCAACCCAGCAGACTTTGTTCCTGAAGTTCTTCTTCAAGTATTGCTGTGTGAATAGGAACAAATATAAAACTATGTATTATCCCAATTTGGCTGCAAAAGTGGAAATACACTTTTAAGTGTTTGGGTTTATAGCATCATTTTAATAAGCAACTGTACAGAGTACTTTCTAGTAACAGGCAAAATTAGATGCCCTGGCAAGCATAAAACGAGGACAATAAAACAGTCATGCATCATTTGCTTCAAAAACTTGGCATTTCATCCAACGTTAAAATAAATGAACTTCTGCTTTATATACAAACCATGTCAGAATTCATCTCTAAAATGACATACTCCAGATACATCTATTATTTCTTCATGAGCAACCAAAGCCAAGACTTGCGTATTATTCAACAGGTGATCTGCATTAATACCACTGATAATGACTAACGGGTTTTTTAACTCCAAAACCAGTTTCCATTTTAATAAATCAACATTAGTCATTTAAAGTGACAATTAAATGACAAGCAAACAATAAAAACCTTATCTATATTTGAACTCTATGTACAGTACTTATGCTGAAATTCTATGTAAAGACAGATGTTCCATGTTTTAATATTTTAGGCTAAAGAAGAATTGATGCAAATTGTCAAAATTGCCTTTCAGTAAGGCAATTGGGGTGTACTCACACTGGGCACAGTTGAACAATACCGTGCCCAAGTACGATTGTCCCCCACTCCCCCGTTGTTCTGCTCGCACACTGTGCTATAAGGAAGCATTCCTGGGCACGCCTACATCATCTCCACTGCCAGCCAGACCACAGTGATCTCTCCTTTTGTGCTCCGTGATAACAGATTTCAGCACTCATGCAAGTTTGCACTGAAAAGCGAACTGTCCTGGACTTCAAGTCAACTGTGCACCAAACCACCTCTTCCAAGCGGACCTGGGCACAATACATGTAACCATGACCGGGCATGGTTCAGATCACTCACACCTCACAAACAAGCTGGACTAAGGGGGTTAGCCAGGCATGGTTAAAACACCTAGTGTGAGTACAACCTTAGGCAGGCCACTTAGATATACAGCTGACATCCTATCTCCAGAGCCAGAACATGACCTCACGCACTCGTGTGTGCAGCGCACAGTCATATGTCCCTAACCACACGTAATGTCTCCATGTGCGATTACACATGAACAGTGGTAAAGCCTGTCAACCTGTCATTGATTTGTACAGGATAAGTGTCTGCAGCTGATCATAAGCACTTGGCCGTACACGCCACAGAAATACGCTGATTTGGGAGTTGTACGGCCATGTGAATGAGGCCTAAGCAGTGGAGTCAATCAACACGATGCTGTGGAGAGGGTTAGCAAAGACAATTCTTTTCATCTTCTAAGACGGCAACAAACATATTTGTTTCTCTCCAAATTGAAGACTATTAGGCAAAATGTTAATTGGTTATATTAAAGGAGGAAGTAAAGTATTATGATATAATAAAAAAAAGGGGGCTGCGAGGCTTTTAGCCGTAATGTGCTAGTACACACACCATATTAGCACATTCTGGCAGACTTACCTGCCAAACGGATCCCCTCTAGCAATGCACTGTGAAGGGAAAATTGACGATCCCTGCTGAAATCACACTGTCAAGCCTTTATTATGGCAGCTTAAAATTTCACTAAATCAACATATTATAAATTGTGCTTTATATGTAAGCCTGCACTTATGTAGTACACAAATGTATACTGGAAACACCATATTTACATACAAGAGCAAGATTTGCAGAAAGGGGGGGGCATTTCCCCCAAAACATGTCAGCCCTGCAGCTTTTTCTGGGTCTGTGTACATACACAAATTGCTCTTTTCCACTTTGTACATGTGAGTAGTTTTATCACTTCACAATTTTGGATCATTCATAAACATTATTACACGAGGAGGAGACGTTGTCTTCTGTGTTTTTGTAGGTGTA